CTCTGATTACGCAGCTTTGGAAGACCCCAGCGCCAGGGGAGGTGTCCGTTCCTGAAGCAGCCCGTGACTCTGTGAGAAGCCCAGGCTGGAGCAGCTCCGGACCTCGTGGGAAGGACTCATGAAGTAGAGGTTTGTGGAGGACTCTCTCCCAAGGGAGGGACCCCATGGGGAAGGAGGACTGTAAGGAATCCTTCTTCCTGAGGAGAAAGGAGCAGCAGGAACCACCAGCCTGTGAACTGACTCTAAATCCCATCCCTTAGCCTTCTGGGGGAAAGGAGGTAGAGAAATCAGGAACAAAGTAATTTGGGCCCTGGAAGGAGGGTATGTAAGCACTGTTCTTTGTGTTGTCTGTGTGCATCTGATTAGTGTGAAATTAAATTATAATTTTTTCCCAAGTTGAGTCTGTTTTGTCCACGACTGTAAATGATCTTAACCTTCTAGTTGGCCTTTGTCCTCCTCATCCAAGAATGTGTGTGAAGGGGGGAGTAGATTGAGCAGCCATGCACCTGTTTCTTTGTTGTGTTAGGCCCATACCACGACAGACATATACAGACATATACATCCCTCAACCTTACGTAAATGCTCTTTTTAGAAATTGTTTGATATAGTGATTGACAAAGTGAAAAACCTGTTATGGCACTATCTGTTCTGAGAAGATGTGGGGGTTTTGAGGGGATTTCCTTTCTGAACTTTTTTGTAACCAGAAAGCAGAAATTCTTTTAGAATGTATTAAGACACAGTTGAATGCAAATTCCTGTTCTGCCTTGTCAGTGATATATGGAGACACCGAGTTTTGTGAACTGAATAATCAAATGGCTAATAAGGAGGCCGCCATCCTCTGAAGCAATGGGTGAGTCAAGTAGTAGTCTGCATGATGTTCTTTCATGTCTTCTGTGGAATGTTTTGGATTGGGCTGTTCAGAAATTTTCTATCATTATTCAGTATGGTTTTTTCCCCACCTCCTGCTTCTGCCACAGCACTTGATAGGTTAGGACTGGCTCTTGAGGTTACATAGGTGAAACGTGTGTATATATATATACACATGTGCATACAAAAGCACACATAAGTACAGATAACTTATATATTATTTATAAACAGCAGGCATCACTGCTAGTGAAACAATTATCCTTCACTGTGAGGACACACTTGAAGAAGGTAGGACATCAAATGCCAAGCACTATGTAGGGGGATTTCTTAGAGGTTTGAAAGGTGTGTAACTCCTGTCACCACTTCTTGGAGGCATGGTGCTGAGTCTAAGCCGTCCTTTAGGATTAAATGGGTTTATGGGTTATATGATGCTGCTGGCTGTGCTGAATGCAGCAGCTGCTGCTTTACTTTCTATAGAAGTGTTGAAGGGAAAGGCAAAAAGTTCGTATCAGCAAACATGAGAAGAATGACTGTGATGTTAAGTAACTAGATGAGCCGTGTCAGCTGCCCTGCATGTTGCAGCTCCAAGCTTCTGCCTGCCAAATGGTTGGGAACACAGGCTAATCCAAATGTTTTGCACCCTTGTTCTCTCAGTTTTGCTGTTCGGGATGGTTTAGTTGATACTTGAGCACAAAGTATTCTACAGAGATCAAAAGTTTCATCTGTTTTTAACAGGAGTTGTGGGCAGTCAGAAGTTCTAATGATTAAGGTGATTATGAACAGGATGTTGTAAGCTTAAGTGTTAAAGGACAAAGCTTGAGTAAATGAAGTTTTCATATTTCTACTAGTTTTGATGTAGTTGGGACAATTTACATAGCAAAGAATATGCATTTTAAATTCTCAACCGAAATCTAAAAAAATTAATTTTTGCTTAAAGGGATATTGTTTGAAGTTCTGAGATCCATCCAGGCATTTTTGCTACAGACTTCTTAAATCAGTGGGAGGTTCTTGAGCAAGTTCACTGCTTGGCCTTGAAAATCTCAGCACCAACTTTGGGGCAGATAATCTAAGCATGGGAAGCTCAGTGAAAGGTCCTCCACCTGTCTGTATGTGTATTCATTTTATAAGAAAACACAATTCAGTACTTCTTTTCAAGATATTTCTATTTGCTACAAAGCCTACTGGAAGAATGGCAATAAACTGACATTTTACTTCTGAAATACACCTCTAAGTTTAGTCAAAGACTTGAGGTTGTACCTGCAAGTGCTGTTTCAGTACTGTGTGTTTAGAGACTAATAAAGATTAACAAAGCCTAATACGGTCACATTTCCTTTTGATTAATGACTGCTAATTTCTGTAGCTAATATTCTGCTGTATTATGAGAATGGTTGTAAAAAATGGCCCCACATAGTTCGTTCTGCTCACCCTAAAATTTATTATTTTGCATACAAACATTTGCTCTGTTCCACACAACTGGGAGAGGCACCTCAGCCTAGATACAAATGATCTTTGTTAGACCAGAGGAGCCAGGCTGAGCTCTGTCAACTGCATGGTTAGCTCTTGAATTGCCCACTGCCCCAGCATTGCCTATTATCTCAGAGAGTAAGAGGCTTTTGGAAAAAGAGACCAGCCCCAGCCTCTCTACAATGACCTTTCAAATAGTTGTAGAGATTGATGAGGTCTCCCCTCAGCCTTCTCTTTCACAAACTAAACATTCCCAGCTCCTTCAAGCGTTCTTCATAAGATTTATTCTCTAGAGCCTTCACCAGCTTCGTTGCCCTCCTCTGTAATCACTTCAGCACCTCGATATCTCTCTTGAATCGAGGTGCCCAAAACTGGATGCAAGACTCCAGGTGTGGCCTCACCAGTGCTGAGGACAGGGGGACAATCACCTCTCTGCTTCTGCTGGTCACACTATTTCTAATACAAGCCAGGATGCCATTGGCTTTCTTGGCCACCTGGTCACACTGCTGGCTCATATTCAGCCACCTGTCAATTAGAACTCCTAGGTCCTTTTCTGCCAGACGCTTTCCAGCCACACTTCCCATGGCCTGTAGCATTGCCTGGGGTTGTTGTGGCCCAAGTGCAGGACCTGGCACTTGGCCTTGTTGAAGCCCAACCATTAACATTAGCCCAACAAATTAAACCAGGAGGTGGAACATCTTGTAGCTGTCTAAGCAGTGACTCTTCATGACACATAAAATGCTTCATCTTTTGTTCAGAGATTTTCAGTTAATTTGGAAAAGAGTTTAAAATAATACACCTACAGGCAGGTTCTGTTTTTCAAAACATATGAAGTAGCTGCATTATTGTCTCTCAACGGACATGGTTACAGTCACGGCTGCTGGCTCAGTTTCTTGAAAATAAGGCTACATGTTCAGGTGATTCAAACCTCAATTTTTTAATACATTAGGGTTTTTTTTCATAGGTTTTCAAGGCCTATCCATATTTTTTTCTTCATTTTCAAATAAATGCCAGGTTGAAGTATGAACTGGTGAAGGGTTACAGTTATTTTATCTGGCATTGTGGGTGCCAGACCAAAAAATCAAGTATTTGCTCTTCAGTGTATCTCAAAGCATGTAGTTTGCTCAACAGTTCTTTTCCTGGGGAGCAGCAAAATGAGAAATTCTTCTTCGTACATGTTTTGTCTGTCTATATAAAGTGCAACCAATCTCTAGGCTGTTTTGTCCTCTTGTTTTTCCCTTAATCTGTGTTTCTGTTGCTCTTGTTGAAGCTGTGAAGGTCAGTGGCTATAAAAAGGCAGGGTCTGGAGGGAGAGACAGTATTTTTCATCTGGAAAAAAAAAGTAGGCAAGTTGTTAGGCACTTGAGTCCATTTTCACGTCTGAAATCTCTACTGTACAATAGAAAATTGCATTTTTATTTCCAGGTTTATATTTTAAAGATTTTCTCTGGGTTGTCCATGAGGATCAGGCCTCGTGAATCAGTTGTAGAGTGGTTTTATAAGTAATGAGGGCTCTGCATGGGAGGATAGTGCAATCTGAGGTTGTTTGGTTTCTCACAGTGAATGCCAGTGACCTTCAACTTTGATGTGAGTAACAACCCACTGGTTCCTAACCGAGAACAGTTTCCTAGAGTGCCTGGGGTGATGATTTTGAGACTCAGAGAGCCTCCTCTTCAAGGAAGCCTTCCAAATACTGTATAGTTATGGCATGTGAACCATTTCTTGAACTTTGTAGCTCAATTGGCTTTTTTCAGTCTACACTGTAATGAGAAGGCTATGATTGTGATCACCTTGTTACCACGTTTGAGCATGATTTCCCTACTGAGGTTTTAATAACGATTTCTCCTAGGAGCCCACCGCTGGCAGCAAAAGGTGATGACTGCTAATGTTTAACTTAGCTGCTAATGTTAAAAAAAAGGGCTGTGAAATCATTCTTTGCTGTTTTCAGTGAGGGAGGATGAGAAACATCTGTCTTGGATGTTACAAGAAAAAGAAATCTCAGCATGCTATTTCATATGTGAATCTGTGGTAATCAGCAAGATGGAATGTGATCTCTTGGGGAAGATTGTCTCATTCTCCAAAATGAGGCAAAAGGGGCAAAATAACCATTGAGTGTTTGTAATGTCTTTGTAACACCCATTTTCCTACTTTTTTTTTTTTTTTTTTTTTTTTTTTTTTTTTTTTAAGAGAATGGACTACATGCCAAAATGAGATTGAATAAAGACTGTGATTCATGTTGCCGCATGTTATGAAAATATACTGGGAGCCTAAAATAGTCTGGAGAGAGACTCAGAATAGCTGTGTGTATGGCTTCGAAGCTCCAGTAGGAGTTATTGAGGTCACTAATTTTTATTTCACTCAGATGTACGGTGAATGTAAAGCCTTGAAAATGCAGTGGTAGGTGCTAGAGTAGAATCAGATGGGTCCCTACTCCTGGAAGTGTCACCCCCTGTATTTCTCCCACCCTCCACCCTCTGCTGGCTACAGAGAAAATTTTAAAAGCTGTGATTAAATTGACTTTTTACACTTGTTTTAATTATCAGGAATTCTTGTGGAAAAGACACACCTCATCCCAAGAAATCAGGAGTTTATCGCAGGACTGTGCAGGGTGAGATCCCTGCAAAATCCTTGGTGGAAAAAATTATCCTGGTGTTACTGTAGACTTCACCATGGCTTTTCTGCCATGCTTGAAGAAAAATAAGTCACCAGGGCCTTTAGGCACAAGTATATTTCAAAAACACAGCCCAGCCATCTGGCAGAACTACCAGGCTTTGCTGGAGACATGCGTGGAGAACACCTGTTCACAGATTACAACTTTCCTGCTCACATCAGCTCTGTTGGAACTGGAACACTGCTAAAAAAACTACCTCAAAATTTACAGTGGAATAGGCCACCTGTAACTGACTTTCAGTGAATAATCTAATGTAAAAGGATTATTATAGTTTATAGCCAGTAAATAGTGTCAGCAGACTACTCTTGCACTTTGATTTAGGTGTGCCTTAATGCTTCTTGAGATTACCCTTTCTGTATCAGCTGTCATTTTGCAAGCTGTGGTACATGGAGTTTCATTATTGCCTTTGAAGCATTTGCTGCCCAAAATTATAACCAGCTTTATTCAGTTTATATCCAGCAATGCTTGGAGCAGGCAAAGGTACCAAGCAAAGGAGAGTGAGGGGAGTCAGTGTCTTTGGAGCTCACAGCATCCCACCATGATTCCATGTTGACAGTTCTCTTGGTGATGGCCCCTCTCTCCAGAAATCAAGATCTCGATCTTTTAGAAGATTTCTGAATTCCTAGACAGCCCTTAGCCTTTGATCCCTCTCCCATGAATCACAACGTTGTGAACCTGGAGGCAGTGGCAGGTGTCTTATCCTCTTGCTGGGCTGGTTTTTTTTCCTACTTAACTGTTTAGTCAGTTCTTTATTGTACTTACAGCAGTCTCTTCCCAGATCTCGAGGTTGAGCTACTGCCACAATCAGTAATTGATCATCAATCAGTATTTTTAGTTCTGGGACCTCTGTTTTCTACTTATGCACATATATCCAAGGCCTTTGCTGGTATCCCATGCTTAAACTGAACACCACAACAAGAGACACTTGGTTGCAAGTGCTGAACACAGAGCAAGTTCCCATAATAACAAGGCTAGGAGGCCAGGATAGCGGCTCAGCATGGTTAGATAAGGCCTGTTAACTCTAGCCTATTGCTAGCAATGGCAGTTCTGTTCTTACAGAGCCACTGAGCAACATATTGACAATCATATCTTCACATGTAGCTGAGAATTTCAGTAGCACTCACTGCTTATGTTACCATGTCTGTCAGGGAATCCTGCCTGATAATAGCAGGTAGCATCTCCTAGCTAAGTTCTTTTTGAGCTGTCATAATTTTTTCAGATTTAACCAATTTCCTAGAAGGGCTGAGTTTCTGCAAAACTCATGAAAATCACTGGGAAAGTAAAGGCACCTTTGCAAATTATTCAGGTGAGCTTGAGTGTAGCAGCCCAGGTTCTCACAGTTTCATACACAATTTCATCTTGCAGAAGGTTCATGTTAAGTCAGGATCTGCAGGTGATGAAAGAAGGCAGTATTCAGGGGCCTGAGCTGGGTTGTGCTGGACGCTGTGGGTGAGCCAGCTGTATCAACATAAAGGTATTTGGGAGGGGAACATGAGTCCTGGCCTCTGCAAAGTCCTTCAGTTGTCCCTCTACCTCAGAGATATGAGGAAGGATGTTGTGCTTCCTTCATTCCCTGTGCTGCAGGAAAAATGCTGAGGTTCTGCCATCCAGTCTGCAGGCTTGTAGCTTGCTACATCTATGACTGATGGCCTGCAAACTGGACACCCTAATTCACTAAGGACAGGGGTTGGTATCTAATTACTGTACCTGCCTTCTGAGGGTTTGCTGTTTCTCTACTACTGCCTGGAGAGGAAACCAATAATGTGAAAATTAGCTTGAGCAATTTATGTGTCATCAGAGTGAAACGTAAGTTTGACACTTAGGTTATTAATTTAACCCAGAAGTACTTGTGAGGGGAAAAAAATAACAACATAATTTTTCTCAAATAATTATTCACAGACCCGATGTTGTCACAGCAATAGGAACTTCTATAGCAGCCATCAGTTATTCTGTAGCTCGATTGTCAAATTGTGGAGATGTCAACTAGGTCAGCTGAAAGTTTTAACAATTATGCTCTGATATTGTAGCCTATTTTGGCTGAAACTTGTCAGTAATTATGGAGGAGCAGAGCTGGCAGGTCTGAAGGGTTGCCTTCTCAGCAAGATGTTTGTGGAGATCCATAGCAAAGGACCTGAGTGCTAATGGCTTATGTTGGAGACCAAATTCAATGCAGACCAAGCACATATGTTTACCTAGACCTGTGTCATGTTAGCCAGAGCACATGATAACAGTAGAGATATATCTGAAACAGAATAATGTCTGCTGGGTCAAAGGGACCCTAAGTATTTTGAAAGCTTTCAACAGGCAGGAGTGTTTTGTGTCATGTATCTAAGAGGTTTTTATATCCTAGACAAGGAACTTGCTGGATTTCCCCTCTTATGAGCTTGCAACTCTGCATGCAGAAGTCCTTGACTTCAAGCTAAACCAACTTACGTTAGTGACTTAGCTGTTTCCCTCTTTTCTTTTTGGTTTTGTGCTTCCCAGGCTATGCATAGAAGTCCACTGCAAACAGAAAGCAACTTGGTCTCTGCCAAGGCTTGGTGGGTAAGGAAGCTACTTTATAAAAATAAACTAGCATTTTGTGTGGAATTTTGACTGTATAAAATGTGGTATAGAAATAAAAGGTGCGCATATCCTTACCTCTTTACTTGTCATGGTCTGCATGAAGCAATCATTGAGATGGGATAGGCTCAAAGTGTGATTTGAAGGGTGAGAGGCGTCTCTGTAAGCTGAAATTGCCATTCTCAGTGTTGCTCTGTACTGCATTAACAAGGGATCCTCCTGCATTCTTACTGGTCTGTAATACTGCTGCTTGACAGACCACAGAAGCAGGAAGATCTGAGACTTTCACTATCTTTGTATCTAAGGCTTAGTGTGAGTGCATTCTCTATCCAGCTTTGCAGTTAGGAAAATATTTTTTATGTCCATGTTGCCTAAAATAAAAGGAGATATTGTCATCTGCACAATAGATAGGAGCAGGACTTAATTAATTTTTAAGTGCTTTACGCCCTTGAACGTGAAGTCTGATAAGTACAGTCTTGCATGTGAAATCCACTGAAAATGTTTTTTCTCTTTTGAAAAGTTTTACTTTTTCTAAGAAAAAGGGAGAAGTTTTTTAATGGTGTGCATTTACAGAGAACAGAAAAAACCCCACACAGTGTCAGAAAAAAAACCTGAATGTTTCCATTGAGAGCTATTTCTTGTTAAATTTCTTATTTAACCAAGCAGTATCCAAATGAAAAATCATGAGAGAGCAATTATAAACAAGTCATGGTTAGGTAAATAAAGCACACGTCTGCATAGTCTTATTTTCTGTATATGATTTTTTATAATTGTAAGGACATCAACACAACAGTTTTGGGGCTAGAATCTTGGTGATTTCCTGAACCTAGCTGCCAACTCTCACTTTTCAGCCAGCTGCATTTTTCCGTGTATCTTAGTGCAGAGGACTGCTGGTTCCTGGCAGCCCTTGAAGCCCTGACGTTCCATCAGGACATCTTGGCTGCAGTTGTGCCTCAAAACCAGAGCTTTGAGAGGAAATATGCTGGCATTTTCCACTTCTGGGTACATCTGCTCCCCCAGAGTGCAGAGAGGTCTTCAGAAGTCCTTTGTCACTTTTGGTGTCACACCCTTAGATATTTTATATGTAGTTCCCCTTGGCCAGGGGCAAGTGGCCAGGGGGAATCCCAGCCTAGAAGGTAGGTCATCATCACTCCCGCAAAGCAATGCAGGCAGTGGATCAAGTACAAACTGCTCTGAGAATATACCTCTGCTTGGCCCTTCTTTCCAGCTATGCCCTATCCATCTTTTAATTCAGACAGAACTCTTGTTCATAGTGGCAATAGCAGGACTTAAGCACATCTGCTTCAACCTTCTATCCTCTTGCCCAGCTCTTGATGCAACTCTGCTACTCTGCATTTAGGAACTCCTGCAAAATCCCAGCTGTTTCTCATTTTTCTGTTTAGTACTTTTTTACACCTCATACATGCTTTGTCTTCTCCTCTGACAGGGTGGGGTTGAGGAGTTGGTTCTGTGGGTGAGTCAGCACACCCCACTGTCCTAAGGCAGTCCTTCCCTTCCAAGGCAGCTTGTCCCAGTGTGCCCACAGCTAAGCTGTCTTGCCTTTCTGCCTTTCCTGTTGTTTAAAGGGGAGGTTCCTTCAAAGGGAAACACCAGCTCATTCCTTTCCCCTGACAGTTCTGGCACTTCAGTGAATGGCTTGAGGTGGTGGTTGGTGATAGTCTACTGGTGGAATGGTCTTTGTTTCTTCAGTCTGTAAGAATGTGTTTTGGGGAGCCCTTCTGGAGAAGGCATATGCTACTTAAGTGATTCATTCCAAGTTATATAAATAGTCTCTCTAAGATACGTTGATTGGTGCCTACACAGTTTGTTCTTGTTTATAAATGCATCTCCTAGGCCTTGCCACATTTGGAGTGCGGTAACTTGTTATCATCTTTCTATTATTACACAGCAAAAGCTGCCACTACAGTAGCTGTTTTCAATCCAGGCCTTGGAGTTTAAATTCGAAGGTTTAGGAGTGGGTGTGAAAACAGACCTATCTTGGGGAGTTGTCCTCTGAATGTTATAATTGTTTGGAGTGTATTGGCTTGAATAATGCCTTCCTTGTAAATATGCAGAGGAGTGGAAGGCCAAAAAACCTGATTTTCAAAAGTGAATTATTTCTGATGCCTCCTTTGATGTGTTATCAATTTGAGAAAACTCCAACAAATTTTGCTTTGGGAGTCTGCTGAGGAATTGTACTTTAGTTTTGATAGAAATTCCTAATCTGAGGTCCTCTAAAACAAACACATTGAACAAGTCACATGGCATTGTGAGAACACTGGCTTCTCTCCAGGGTCTTTTATCTGGGATGGTTTATTGGGACAAAGAAGTGAGCAACAAGACATAACTGATGGGGTAGGTTAATCTTGGGCTGAAATAATCCATGCAGGGCAAGGAAAATTCCTAGTTAACAGAACAAAAACATCAAAGCAAAGGAGATGATTTTCAGTTGTTTCCATTTGTGGTTATCATTAGAACAGAAAGAGTGGAGAAAGTTGCACTCCAGTAGTGAAGAAATTCAGATTGGAGAGTAAACTCTCAAGGCACAATATGCCTCTGAAGACACTGTATCAGTGTCCCGTGGCAGCATTTGCTAAGGCAGAAACAGCGATGAGCGCATTCTCACTGCTGTGCAGTGAGGGATGATAGCAAGTGAAGAGTTCCTTTCAGACTATTTTAGGAGGCAATTTGCTAGATTCCTCTCTTCCTAATTGAGAAATATGCCCCTAAAAAAACCCGTGAGTTACAGCCTTCCTCAACCTATCATCTATGACTATAACCTTATGTCAATGTCTTTTTTGCTAGACTCTGTGGCTCCTATGAAGATCTTCAGATTGGGCAAGTTTCAGAAGCCTTGGTGGATTTTACAGGTTATGTTAATATAAGGATCAAGCTTGCAGCAGCTCCTCCTGATCTATGGGATGTCCTGACAAGAGCAACCTACATCAGATCTCTCATGGACTGTCAGACACATTTAAGGGTGGTGCTTGAAGTAACATTACATAGCTTCACAGCTAAAATTCCCTTTGCACAGCTAGTCCCTGTGACTCCTAAAGTGTCAAAGCTGATACTTTCTGTAGAAATCACATTCTTAATGTTAAACTTTGCACATGGATGATTCCCTGCTACTCTCAGCTCCCTGTTGTTATGTTTAGGACCTGGTTTATCAGTCAAAGAACTTCTATTAAATAAGGACCTACTGCATTTTCCCATTTTTGTTAAATTTTCTGCTTTTACAGATGGTGCAGTGTGACACAGAGACTCATGGACTGAACTTATAGCTAAGAGAGGGCGGTGTGTAGTTCAGAACACTAATTAAAATATTGGCTTCCAGGCCTTATGCTAACACTGCTACTGTAGGGAGAGCCTACTATTCTGACCTCCTGGACATTTTAGAATTGAGATGGTCTCTAGCCAAAGATCTACAATTTAGGAAGGGACCTTCCCAATCAACCCTCCAATCCCAAGCATGCTGCAAAATATAACTGCTGGGAGCTTAGACTTTAATTTTTTTACAGTTCAAACCATTCTCCATTTCCTTTGAGAGTAATTTCTCACATAGGTACAGGTTTCTGGTGTTGGTATGAGTGTGCCATGTCAGTAGGGATAGAATAAAAGGTTTCTTTACCTTCTGTTTCTCTTCCTTGTATACAGAAAACAAAGGTCCTGAAGAATGGGTTTGTTGCTGGCCATGCCTACACAGTAACTGGTATTAGAAAGGCAAGACTAGCCCTAATGTCCTGGGCCCAAGTTTGTTTGGATGTCAGCGGTTTTTATTGCAGTTATAGATTCAACCCTTAGTCAGTGCAGCTACGGTGTGTCCTGCCCAATGCTCTTCTCTTAGTCTAAGGCTAAAAGAGACTGTGCGCTTTGTAAAGATTCACTTTCATGTGTGTCCATTTTAGTATAATGACCTTGACATAAAGGACAGTGGCTATAGATCAGCCTATCTGTAAGGGTGGGAATGATTCACAGGGCTCTGCTGAGACCATCACCTACAAACTGAAAACCTACTTGGGGTAAAAAGCCTTCCTCTGAAGTCACAGGAGAGGCCATAGAGAAATAAAGATATTTGAATACAAGGGCCAAAACAAGAAACACTGCAGATAGAATTGCGAGTCAAGGCTAAAGTAAGGGCCTGAAAAGTGGACTTTTGTGCAGAGAATTCCAGGAGGACCCCACTGATCTGCAGAAGGATTCCCTAACGATATTTGTCTAGAAGTAAGGGACAGTAAAACAGTTGGTTCCAAAGAGTGGGAGAAAACTTGAGCTTTCCTCTCTTGAATTGATGGATGACTATTTTGTCCAGCCTCAAAAGGAGGTGGACAAGGATGGCAAAAGACTCCAGGGCTTTGGACATTTGATATAGATGTGGTTGAAGACACATTCAATACCTCTAGCAAGAGATACTAGGAAAGAGAGGAAGAGATATTGTGAACTGGATTATGCACACCTGCGTCTCACACACAGCAGGAGGGTTTTAGGTATGGACTTTATCAGTGATATGCCTGTCAGTCTGGCTCCTCTGATGGGTTGAAGAGCCAGGCAGGAGTAAGAGATTGACCGAGCATGTGGAGCTGATGTGAAGTCGTCTCTTCTGCTGTATGTTGCCAATGAAGCCCTTAGTCAGCCCAGCTCCCTCTTCCCTAGCATAGCATCCCTGTTCAGGAAACACTAATCTGTGAGGTCACTCCATGGGCTACATTGTGCTATGCCACTGCAATGAGGTAGGAATGTGGCTTCGTCCTGGATCAAACCAGGACAGAGAACAAACAAAATATTTGTTAGTGTGCAGCACTAGTGTGCAGTGATGTAAACCAAATGAGAACTCCAGAGACTTTGGTAAGCACAGTGTTACTGTTTTCTGCAGGTGACCTGTCAAGATGGACCAGAAAACTTAGTGAGACTGAGAAATCCATGGGGAAAATTTGAATAGAAAGGAGACTGGAGTGATAGCTGACTTTAGAAAAGGGAAGGCTGATGCTGAGTGGGAAGGAAGGTTTTTTGGAGGAAAGCTGCTGCCATCTTCAGGCAGGAATTAGTGCTAAGCAGCGTCAAGATAAGTAACAGTTGTTTGCACACTCTGGTGTCAAAGCAATGGCTCAATAGGTTTGTATTTCTCCAGCAGACAGTGCTTACGTAGTTGGGCGCACTTCAGACATGAAGCTTCAACAAGCTCAGTTCTGCTTTTCCATTCACTGAATGCCACAGGAAAAATAGTATGAGCATCGGATGCTGACCACATTGCTGTGGTCTGGATGGCATGCAAGGTGACAGGTAACTGTGCAGGAGCTCTAAACAAACAGTATGTTTCAGGGCACATAGGATCCTTTAGCACAGGAGGGACCGTGAAAAGTCATCCATAGGCTGCAAAGTGTTGGAATTAGGTGGCTGCAAAGGAATCCTAGCTGTTTGAGGAAATAATACAATCATAGAATGGTTTGAGTTGGAAGAGACCTTAAAGATCATCTAGATCCAAACCCCTCCATAGGCAGGGACACCTCCACTAGACCAGGTTGCTCAAAGCCATTACCCCTGCTCATATAAAAAGTCCCTCTCCAGCTTTCTTGTCAGCCACCTTCAGGTCCTGGGAGTACAAATACAATTGTGTGAGATTGGAGGAATAAACTAGTGAGGCAAATGGGCTCTATGTTTGCTTCTGCTTTAATTTTTTATTTGGATCCATGAAAGACTGTGGCTTGCATTCTAGACTATAGGCACCTGTAGACTTGTGTCCTATTCCTCTTCAAAGCAGAGCATGTTCCTTCCTTGGAAGCTTCACTTTGTTTTTCTTCACAGAACCTATTTGCTGAGGCTCAGGGGTAAGGAGGAGGGAAGAGCAAAGGGAGATATTGGGAATGTAAGTGACTTTCATCTTGTCTGTAGGGCAGTAACTTCTCTGATGCATGTCTGTTACATAATGACCAGCTGTTCCAGTGGAAGGAAGAGACCTTAAAGATCATCTAGATCCAAACCCCTCCATAGGCAGGGACACCTCCACTAGACCAGGTTGCTCAAAGCCATTACCCCTGCTCATATAAAAAGTCCCTCTCCAGCTTTCTTGTCAGCCACCTTCAGGTCCTGGGAGTACAAATACAATTGTGTGAGATTGGAGGAATAAACTAGTGAGGCAAATGGGCTCTATGTTTGCTTCTGCTTTAATTTTTTATTTGGATCCATGAAAGACTGTGGCTTGCATTCTAGACTATAGGCACCTGTAGACTTGTGTCCTATTCCTCTTCAAAGCAGAGCATGTTCCTTCCTTGGAAGCTTCACTTTGTTTTTCTTCACAGAACCTATTTGCTGAGGCTCAGGGGTAAGGAGGAGGGAAGAGCAAAGGGAGATATTGGGAATGTAAGTGACTTTCATCTTGTCTGTAGGGCAGTAACTTCTCTGATGCATGTCTGTTACATAATGACCAGCTGTTCCAGTGGAAGGGCATAATGAGCAACATACTGTAGGCCTGCCTTTTAAACAGCTCCCAGCTGCCTCTTGGCTGTCCATGTAATTATTATGCCAAATACTCTTTCTATTATGTCTCCTTTGACAGAAAGTAAACTAACAAAACAGATTTAGATTTTTATATTTTAAATATTTGCAAACTGCATGCGCAACTGAATGGGCTGTCTAATGGAAAGGGGCATTTCTGGCTTCTGCTGGAGAGAACTGGAGGCATTAAACTACATCTCATGGGACCTAGAGTCCTTGTGGAGTCTCCTGTAGCTTGAAGGCATGAGGGACCTGTGTTTAGTGGGGGATGAACATGGGAGATGTCAGGACAGGGATTTGGCCTCTTTTTATAAAGGAAGGCTGTGTCCTCTGCCTTGAATTTGAGGCCATGTTTCGTTATTCACCTCATGCTTTTGCCCTTAGCTCTTACAAGTGGGAGCTGTTGAGCCCGAAGGAGATTTTGCCGAGGAAAAAGAAGGAGGATGGAGAATTCTTAGTAATGGCACAAGTCTTGACTCTCCTCTCTCTGCCAGTAGCTCTGAGGCTATGCCTGGAGATCAAGCAGCACATTGTCATTTAGGTCAAGGCATAGGTGATGTGCTTTGTAACAGCCCATGCTTGCTTTCTTGCTCTACTTTTCTGCTTGACAATGTAAGAAGCAGTAGTCATGCTGTCACGGAAGAGACGCACTGTTCTTCAGTGGCAAGAGTGAGGGAGAAGCAGGACACTACCAGGTTGCCAGCGCCACTGGAGGCTTGGGCAGCTTTCAGGAGCTTTTGTCCTGCCTTTTTTTAAGATAGCTTTGGGAATGTCTCGCTTTCCTTGTTTGTTTGTGGTTTCTTCACAGCTTCTGCCACGAGGTGGCAATGTTGTCGCCCTCGTAATTTCACTGCTGTCTTTTTGGTGACACTTTAATCTCTGCTGCTTTCCTTTGCTGAAACTTCAGTCATACATTTGCTACTGCTAGATTTTTATGTTAGAGCAGACGCTTTCTTCTTTATTGCCCAATAAAATATGAGCATTACCATATGTAACACAGAGTGGTGCAGCTTCGAAGTTCCCTGCTCCCTTTTCTTTTTATAAGCCATATGGACTAAACTAAACTGCTGACAAGATGTTTCTTGATAGTTTTTTCCCACTATGTCTCTGCGAGATTTCAAGATTCATTTTGTAGATCTGATGATCTGTGAATTAACTCCAGATCTGATGAGCCAGGAACATGGAAAGATGTGGATGTACTCCCTTGAAGAGGGGGAGATGGGTTAAAGGAAGCACAGCAGGAGGAAGTCTGCTCTTTTGGATTACCCTGGGATAACCTTGCTCTGCTGACTCAGTTACCAGCACCTTATAGCTATAAACACAACCTTGAGAACAGAAACCTTCACTTCCTTCTAAACCCTCCACACAAACATCAGAAATAAGCCACTGAAGGACTTTGACTATCTTCTGCTATCAAAGTTGATGCATTACTGGCAAATATAGGGCAGTGGGCTGGTTATGGCATGAAATGAGCTGCAGGAACCTAGAATCAATTGCCAGCACTGAGCTTCTTTGGGACTTTAAGCTTGTCTATTAAAATTTGCATCCTCAGCACCTCCAGGGAGTATTTTAGGTCAAGTGAATGGGAAATGCAGAGGCTCAGCCCTTCTGGAAGTAGAGCAAGTGGGGTCTGAAGTCAGCTAGCCCATACACCAGAGATGACAGAAAAAAATGAGCTCTTAATTGCAGATGAGTGGAAATGTAGTTCCTTATTCCTGGGCCTTTTGCACCCTAAGATCAAATCCCTGTGGGGTCTCGAGGTCCAGATAACCTGTGATGTATTCAGTACAATGCCAGGCATAATGTGTGAAGCTGGCAACCAATTCTGTGATGGAAAATGACATAAAAATGTTTTTCTTGTTTGGCTTAGGGGCGTTTTGGATGAACCCGCAATATTGGGTCCTACTTTAGAGGGTGATGTAAAACAGGAAAAGTACTCCTTTTATCATGAAAGGGCATATCTTCCAGTCTGTTATTATGCAGAACACCTCTTAAATGAGAAGCCTTTGAGTTTGGGGTGGAAAAGAACTAGTTTGAATGTATGGTCAGGGCAGCACATTTGTGTTTCCAGTTGCTGCATTTCTAGCATGGTAACCATGAATTAAGATGCCTCTCCTTCCTGATTGTAGAATCCTGAAAACAGCTGCTGTGAGAAACAGGACAGAATGCATTTGTGTGGGTGGGGTCCTCATTCTGTAGCCATCTGGACACTGTTCTCTGTAGCTGCAACCCTCATTCAGCAGTCACCTTAACAAACAGGACACTGTCCTCACCAGATAAGGCAGTCAGTTGGAATCCTGTGGAGGTAGAGTGTGAAAGACCCGCTTTTTTGTTTGAGGCAATTGAACAAAAAGAATGCATGAAAATAAAGCTCACTGTTTGGCCAACCCTGTTGAGGGGGATCAAGTGACCACATGGACCACCATTCTCTACCGACTCATTTCCAGAACATTCTAAAACCCGACACCAAGCCTGCACAAAGTGGGCCAAGCCTCACCTAGGAGAGGCAGGGTTAGGTGTCATAACAGGCAGACTTGGAACGCTTGGTGCGCACCTGCCATCCAGGAATCACAGCTTCACACTAAGATTGTCACTGGATCCAAGGGTGGTGCTTATCTTTTTTTCATCTCTGTCTCTGTCTCTAACCTTATTATGGGCACATAAGGGTTAGATTGTTTCTAATGTAGCAGTTGTAACCGCTTGCTTCGAGAGTACAATCTTACCAAGTTTTGCTGGTTGTAAACTCTTGCTTTGAGAATATTATTGCCGTGTGGTTTTTGGACAAGCTTTTAACCTTACCTGATTTTAAGTAAAACTATTCATGTTTGAACCTCCTGGGTAATATTCCTTACCCCTGTGTGCTGTACAGAGAATTATAGAAGTTAATCTTGCCTACTGGGTTGTTAAAAGCTTTGCCCCTGTGGCTGTTGAAAGATGTTGACTTTCCCTGTACCCACCATGTGGGATGGGCCTGAACCTTACCATAACCCACCTGAGTGGGACAGGATGCTGACTTAAATATTTTGGGCACTATCAGGGTTACAAGTGAGTTAAACTTGTGGCAGGGGGAATCTGAGTGTGGCCCCAGCACGCTGCTGTGCTGCATTCAAGGGGGAATAGTGGCAGCTGGGACTTCAGTTTGAGGTTTGTAGCAGTTGCCACAATCAATACAGAGAGATGGCAAGACAAGAATATCTAAGGTATTGGAACTAAAGTCAATGAAGTATTGAGTGGAATATAAAAACTTTAAATTTATCATGAAGGGCATGAGGAGGAGTAACTCTGAACCCTTCAGGAGAAAGTTTGCTCTATTATCAAGTAAAATACTGATAAAGAAATATATGAATTCATGGAGTAAAGTGGCTAAATATTTTGAGGAACTGCCAGAATCAGAAGGTGACAGTGGTCTTAGGTAGCAGAATTAATTATTTGGCTTGTTTACTGGGCACTCAGTGGCATTAAAATTAGTTCAGTGTTGCCTGGATCAACACTTTATCCATTCTCCTATTGCAGAAAAGTGCCTACAGAGCAAAACATCTGTAAGAGCCTAGAGTGGCAGGCAGATCAAGGACACGTGCATGGAGTCAGGGTTAGGGATTAGGTTGCTTCTGCAGTACACTCAGATCACAGATGCTCTGAAAAATCTGCTGCCAGATCCCTAGTGCAAAGGACAAGCTGGTAACAAAGTGCATGGTACCTATGGGTTAGAAGGGGTGTGCAATTCTGGAGCAGTTCCTATCTGCAGTTGTTTCTGCCGGTATAGAAATCACTTTTGCAGTGGCTTAAATTGACAGGAGCTTTCCAGTCCTTGCTACTGTTCCTTGCAAGTATTGTTACATTGTTGATAATGTTGCAGAAAGCCCTGTTCTTCGTTAATTTAGTCTTGGGCAGGTGTGGTACACGCTGAGAACCGCTATGTCCTGCAAAGAGAAAGGGTGTTAGGCCCTGTTACCTGTTGGCGCTGTAAAAAAAAATCTGAGGTGTGAGTAAAGCTTCTTAATGCCATACCTGTGAATTTTCCATGTGCCTTTTGTCTGTTCAGAATTGGTGCAGATCACATTACTCTTCTGTTTCTTCCCTCAACAGTACCAGGAAAGCAACAGAAAGCTGCCTCCAGTTTTCTTCACCTGGGATCAGCCTGGGAACAAGCACCAGGTTTTTCTTGATGAGCGGGAAGTGACTCTTTACTTTCACCTGGAGCTTCAGCAGG